AGTATGGTCTGTGGACCTTTGTTAACTGCCTGCAACATGTATTGGAAGACTTATGTAAATCTGATGTCACCCCACTACTTTTATTGTATTTTACAAGAAAATTAATCCGTAATGCTGTGCAAATTAAACTACATAAAACACACACACACACACACACACACACACACACACACACTCACTCACTCACTCACTCTATTCCTTCCTTACAGAAACTTGGAGGACCACTGGTCTGTAGTAACTAAATTCACCATCAAACTCTTCCAGAGTTTCCATTTTAAAGATTAAAATCTAAGAATCTCAAAGATTTTGCTCTATGAGGACTATTTTAATAATAGTAATGACACTGACTCTTGGCAGGGGCACAATTATAATTCTAAAGCAGGAAAAAATATATTGCAGAGATCTTTTCCTGGGACTTTTTCATTCATTAAGGCAGTAAGAACTTGCTATGTGTTAGATCCTGTGTGTTCAGTATGAAGTTACTAAGGTAAAATGATGAGATGTCCCCGTCCATTGGAAATTTGATACCTAATGAGAAGCAATGTTTTCAGATACTTTCCCCTGGAACTATAAATGTGAAAGTAATTCTATTTTGGGAGATAAATACATTTTTTATATATCAAGTGAAATGCCTGAATAAATTCTATAAACAAACACTGGATAACTGAAAATAAAGTACAAAATTTGCCAAAACAATATAGCAGTTACCAGAGAGATGCTTCTTTAATTGAATGAATAAAAGTATAAATAATAAGAATATGAATTCCTTACTTATAAATATTACAACACATAATACGAGGGAATTTTATAAATGACACACAATTTAAGAAGGCCTCAAAGTATACTGTACAGAAATTATGTGACTGGTAAAGCTGCAGTGAGACAGCTTTTATCCCAGGTTCATTTATTTGAATTTTAAGTACGAAGTATACCATTCTGTCAAGTGGGTGGGTCATTTCCCTCAGGCCCAGCTGACAGATAAAGAGCAGATTGTTAGTGGTCTACACATAGCAGGCAGAGCTGGTGCTGCAGCAGCACCGAAGAGTGCTACAAACACTGTTTAAGTTCAGGAATGACCCAAGGCTTACTGTGTGTTACACTGGTAATAAGTAGAGCATATTTATTCTTCAAGAAACATTGCTATTCCTTTTTTTCCTTCAAGGAATTCTGGAATGTCAGCCTACTGGGTGGGACTGCCTCTGGTTAAAGTTTCTGACTTACAAGCTTAGCTGGAGACCCAATTTCAAGAGCAAAGTGAAAAACCTAATAGTACAAGCCATGCTGGGCAAAGGAGAATGACAATCTCCTACACAGCTGGAACTGTCATGAAGTCATTACCAGTAGACAGCTGAGGTGACAAAAATTCTGTTACGAAAAGCTAAGGACATGCTATTAGCTGTCTGATATCCTGACCTACTCAGACAGAAGCAGAGAACAACCCAAATGGATAAGTAGATCTGTTTTTTAATGTTATTTACTTGCATACTTAACATTCTTTTTAGCCCTATTTTTAAAGCTCAAAACCAGGGTGCAGCAAGTATGTGAGAATACAGTAGGGGCTGGTTTCCCTTGCTTTCCTTCTCTGCCTGCTTAGACCTCAGACCATGGGCTGGCCACTGTCCCTCGCCCTTCTTCTAGATCAAGTTCCAGCAAAGCTGAGGGGCTAGTCACTCTTGCCCTGTAAACTTTGACAGATGTGAACCACAGCTACCCACACTACCTTTGACAAATCCAAGCTGGAGAGGCTCTATTCTTAAAGGAGGAACACAAACACCACTTCTACAAGCTGGATGTCAGCCAGCTCTCATTGTGCTGAATTCAACTCAACACTTACTGAGCACTTTTTCTGAACCAGGCACTGTGCTTGATGTTGAACGCACACACACACACACACACACACACACACACACACACACACAGACACACACACGTTGCCCTCCAAGAGTCAAAATCCTTCTTTCATAAGCTCACATTTTCACATTTTATTTAGAGGCATAAAAAAATAAACAAATAAATTAATATATTTCAGATTATGCTGACAAGTACAAGGAAGAAAATAATGCTGAAAGACATAGTTCCTACCTAACCAATAGATATTCATGAATGAGAAGAAATGCTGTAAGAAAATGTGTAAATTTTTCTGAACCCAGGCCTCCTCTGGTGTAAGAGTTAAGGCAGATAATTGTTAAATTCCTTCCCAACCCAAAAATTCTATGATGTTAGGCTTTAAGGAGAACATTTTCTACTGAAGTCCACCAATCCCATTAAAATGCTCAATAGTTTCGTATTTAAAATAACAAAATTCTTTTAAAATTTCAGTAAGTCAAAAACACCATGTGAACCTTAAGAAAGAAGGCACCCATAGTGGCTAACTGGATTCAAATTTAAAAAAACAACCAACCAACCGTGCACAGCTGCTTCTACACAGGGGCCTCTCGCAGAAACTGCACTTCAGGGGGCAGCCAGCACTGAAATGCCTCCCTCTGCCCTGAACTGCCTGCCCGCATGCGTTTCTGCCATCTGAGCCAGCCCTTGCAAAGGAGTTCCTGGAATCCTATTTTAACCAACAGGAGTGGGGCTTTCCTCATCCAACCAGAGCTGAGCAGCTCCAATCAACCAGAGTGGCTCTTTTCTGACCAATCAGGACAGTGTCTTTGGAGGATTTTGAGTCCTTCGAGGATTTGGAGTCCTCATCTACATAAGGACAGACCAATCAGGGCCCAGGGGTGAGGGCTTCTGTCCATATAAGCCAGATCGCCTCTGGCTCTGAGAGTGCACTTTCCTTTTACATTGATTGCTCCCTGGCTGAACTAAAACACCACAGATGTCTTGTTGGAGCAGAGCAGACCAGAGTGAAATAGAGCAGCACAGCGCAAAGCACACCTGCAAGGCGCTAAGCAGAACTGTCTAGTGGGATAGGGGCCTGGCCATAGGTCTGCCTGGCCCCAGGGCTGCCTCACAGCCATGCTATTTTCACTGCTGTGCTATATGACAATTGAGCTGTTTTGCACTGAATAAAGTTTCCTTCTTCGCTGCATCCCAAACTGGGGAGTCCTATTGGCACAGAATTGACGCCAATGACCAGCAATTGACAACCATGAGAAGAGAACAACAAGCTATGTGCAGCACAGTTCTTATGAAACCGAAAGAACATGAACACCGACTGAAAAATAAGAAATGTGAATTTCCAATGAAATTAGTAAAAAATATTTATTAGATTCCTTTGTATGCACTAGACTCTTGTTCCCAATACAATCTGACATATAACAGGTACTCAATAAATATTTGTTGAACAAATGAATTCACTCTAACTAAAATCAAGGAGTCATTTAAAACAGTCAAATATCCAAGCAGTGTTCAGGATTTAAGGTAATGATGTTACCTATTTGTGGTAAACACATAATGACTGGAAATCAGTATTACCTTCCTGGAAGGTAAGTAAGTGTCTATCTTCCCAGTGAAAGGTTCAAGCCCATCTCAATGTCTGGTAATTATCCAAAGAAATAAGGTAAGCACCCTTATTAAATATATACAATGTATATATTTTAAAAAAAGATGTAGCAAATATGTAAGAACACAGAAGGGGTTCTTATTGCATGAGTGAGAAACAGGAAACAACTCCAAGTAAACAACAATAGGAAATTGATTAAAAGAGATATAGTATATCAGTTCAATTGAATTCTATGTAGCAATTAAAATGATACGTATTTATTGACAAGGGGCTACATCAAACCTAAAAACTTCTGTGCATTAAAGGATATTATTAACAGAGAGAAAAAGTGACATGGGAGAAAATATTTGCAAATCATATATCTATTAAGAGGTTAATATCCAGAATCTATAAAGAACTACTACAACTCAATAATAGAAAAACAAATAACCTGATTAAAAAATGGGCAAAACACTTCAATAGACATTTTTCCAAAGATAATATATGAATGGCCAACACGCATATGAAAAGATGCTGAACATCACTAAACATCAGAGAAGTACAAAAGTATAAATAATACTTTATACAAAATTTATACAAAAGTATAAATAAAAATAAAAGCACAGTGAGGTATCACCTTACACCACTGGAATGGCTATGATTAAAAGAACATAAACTAAGAAGTGTCAGCAAGGATGTGGAGGGTATGAAATGGTGCAGCCACTGTGGAGACCCATATGGAGGTTCCTTAGCAAATTAAAATAGAATGACCATATGATCCAGCAATCCCACTTCTGGGTATATGCCCCAAAGAATTGAAAACAGGATCTTGAAGACATGTTTCCATACCCATGTATGTAACACCATTATTCACAATGGTCAAGAGGAGGAAGTGACCCAGTGTCCACTGATGAATGGATAAACAAAATGTGGTAAATCTATACAATGAAATATTATTCAGCATTAAAAATAAATATGATTCTGTCATGTACTGCAACATGGATGAACCTTGAGGACATTATATTAAGTGAAATAAGACAGTCACAGAAAGACAAATACTGTACAATTCTACTTAAATGATATATCTAAAGTAGTCAAATTCATAAAGACAGATGGTGGTAGCCAGGACTTGCGGGGAAGGGGAAACTGGGATTTGTTTAATGGATATAGTTTTGGTTCTGCAAGATGAAAAAGTTCTGGTGATCTGTTGCACAACAATGTGAGTCTACCTAACACTACTGAATCGTATACTTTAAAATGGTGAGATGGTTAAAAAAAGTAGACTTCATAGTATGTGAATTATATCTCAAAAAGAAGTTATGCAAAAAAATTTTTAAGAGTTATAAAACTGTGAAATAAAAATATGTATATAGTACAGGAATAAAATGTAAGAATCTATTAAAAAATGTTAAGAGTGGCTAGATTACAGGTGAAAAATTGATATTTTCCCACATTTTCAGACTTACCTTCTGCTGAGAATGTACGGATGTGTAAAATACAAGATACATACTTGATATACAAAAAACAAGATGTTTTCCCTATTTAGGAGTAAAAACAAGAAAGATGATACCTGGGCTGGAGTGTTTGTAGTCACAGGAGATGGTGATTCACTAACTTTTGGCTCACTTGGGGATGCGGCTGACCCCTGCGACTCCTGGCTGGCTGGCTGGTCTGGAGACAAAGCATCACTGCTGTCTTCATCAAATGAGAAATCGCCCTGAGTTTGGGGATAGTCCTCCTTCCCAACGCCTAAAGAAAAAAAAATTCTTAGCTTATCTTGGTCTTTGGAATACCAAGCCTAAATGAAAAAGAAGGAGAAACTTTTTTTTTTTTAATATAGGACTTTAAGAAGTTTTTTTTTAAAAAAGAATATCACGTACTTCCCAATGCAAGAACCCACCACTACCTACCATAAGTACTTGGGAAACAAACAAACAAATAAAAAATTAAACCTGAATCAGATTAAGCCTTTGGATCCAACTACGTGTTATAGGAAATACAGAAGACAAGAAAGTTTTTAATGACACATGGTGATGCAAACGCATCCAGTAAAATCCAGAATGTGGAAATTTACAGATAAAATAAGCATATTCATCAACAAATTAAGAAAAGAAAGGAGGAGGGAGACCCAATCAAAAGATACTTAAGAGGTATATCAGCCAAAGGCAAAGTGTGGACCGTGTTTGGATCCTGATTTGGAATCTAATTGTTACAAAAGATTATGAGGCAATGGGGAAAATGAGGCAATGACTGGGTATCTTGATAAGTCCCACTTCATGAAGTGGCTCAGCTATACTGACACCTTACTGTTGGGAGCCCATTTCCTTGGGATTGAAAGGGATCATAGTTCATTGTACTACTCTTAATTATATACTACAAATTGCCTAAGATTGAAACTCATACTAATGCAAAATAGAAAGTCCCCATGAGTAATGGAAACTATAATAGTTTAAGTAGGATAGTAACTTAAAAAAATTGCTTGCTGAATAAGTGGCATTATTCTGGAATTTTTTTCCTGTTAGGCTTATGCCAGGAAAAAAGTGGAAACATTAGTAACTAAATTGAGAGCAAGATAAAATGGACAGATACTACCATTTATAATGAATACATCTATAACATTGCCAAACTAACACTGAACAGGCTATGTTCCTTTATCTTTCCTGGAAGTATATAGAGCAAAAATAATGAAAATTTTGTAAAAATTTTAAACATAACAACAGAAACGAAACAGTATAATACAGTAAGTTTAACTTAGAAAATGTGATAATAAAATCAGAGCTTAAAGACTTAAACCTTGGATGTAAGGAGAATCTCAGTGTTAATAGGTAAGAGGTGCTAGTCTTATGATATTTAATGTACAGCTGACCCTTTGTAATCCACAGGTTCTGCCTTCTCAGATTCAAGCAACCCCAGATAAAAAATATTTTAAGAAAAGTTAACAGTGTTGCTGACACGTACAATGCAGTTAGGCCTAAGATGACTGCGTCTGTACTGAACACGTACAGACTTTTTTTGGTCATTATTCCCTGAACAATACAGTGTAACAACTATTTACATAGCATTTGCATAGCATTTGCATTGCATAACTGTGTTAGGTATTGTAAGTAATCTAGAGATGATATAAAGTATATGGGAGGATGATGGGTAGGTTAAATGCAAATATTACATCATTTTGTAAATAGTACTTGAGCATCCAAGGATTTTGGTATGGGGGTCCTGGAACCAATCTACTGTGGGTACTGAGGGACGACTGTAACAATAATAGAACCAGTGTAAGCGTTAATTTCTAACTGACCCAGAAAACAATACTTACGATTGGTGCTGACTTAAATTAAATTTGTTTTATCTTAAACTACCACGCTTGTTCTCCCAGAATAAATTTTTAGAGTCTTGCCTATAATTGCTTCCTTAACACTGGAGTCTACAGGCAGGATGTTTTTCTCTACCAGCTCCATAGGACCAGGTCTCTGAGCAATCTTTTCATTCAGATCATCAGCTAGGCGAGCTCTTTTCAACTTCATCTGAGTAGCCTGCAGGGATGGCTCTGCAAATGTTTCTAAAAGAAGAAACACAGTTTTAAACATTACTTGAATTACTATCTTTATTCCATATTGCCATTTCAGGCCAACTAATTTAATTTAAACTGGTTTAAACATATTGATGTGTTCTTAATGTATCCATGGAAAAAGAAAAATACCCTTTATGAACATTCCAGCAAACATTTTATATTTTTAGTTCTGGGTAGCTTTTACTGCCTATACAATATGGATGCTCACAGACTCAAATTAACATGAACTTGAGCCAAAACTGGGGTATTGCCATTATTTCTTTACGGTAGAAGGGTCATATTCACATTTGTTAGGAATCAGGGATACAGAGGGTGAATAGGATAGATGTGGTCCATGGCTCAAGAAGTTCATCGTTTTAGATTTGGCTTCATTGGAAAGTCAATTCCTAGAAGGAAAGACATTGTATCTTAGGATATAAACTTCTCTGCAGGAGTCAAAGGGCAGAGCTTCAAATCATATTCTTGTACTGATCCCTATGTATCGCTGAGTTGATCATCACAGTTAAGAGTTTGGGTTTGTTTCTGCATACATAATCTTGCATCTGTTAGGAACTTTCAATACTATACACAGTAATTAACAGTCATATAGAAGCATCAGCTCATCTATTTACAAATGCATAAAGTTGTACAACAGATGTGAAACTATTATAAATATAGCTTATTCATGTGTGTAATTCTGTCAATTACTTGTGCTTCTTATAACTCTCACTAACATTTTATTACCTTGTTCTAAATAATGTTTATAATTGATTAAAAATGATGAGGTGTTAACCCAAATTCTGATTGGAAAGTTGCTTGCCTCTTAAATTATACTGAAGGTCTTTTAATGAAATTCCCTGTAACTATTCTCAGGATTAACTGATGCTCTTCACTTTGTAGGTAAAATGTCCTTGTTGAAGCCCAAAGCTCAGTGTAAGCCTTTGGCCGATAAACTACTCTCTGGCACACCTGAGTACAGCTGACCCTTGAACAATGCAGGGATTAGGGATGCTGACCCTCCCCCACTACAGTCAAAAATCCACACATAACTTCTGACTCCCCCAAAACTTAACTACTAATAGCCTACTGTAAACCAGAAGCCTGATAGCATAAATAGCCAATGAACATGTTTTATATGTTATGTCCATTACATACTATATTCTTACAATAAAGCTAGAGAAAACTGATATTAAGAAAATCATAAGGAAAATAAAATATATTAATAGTATTTATTGAAAAAAATAATGTATAAATAGACTTGAACAGTTTAAACCCATATTGTTCAGGGGTCCCTATACTTCTCTCTCCACCAGTTAATTTATTTACTTACCAAAGCCAACCTTGATCATTCACAAAATACTTCATATCTGTTGGGATTGCTACTGTTAATACATAATATAACTAAATGTTATACAGAAAGAATAAACTTCAAAAATAAAGTGATTATTTCTTAGAACCTACGTTAAACGCTTTGGAACAATCTGACAAAGGTGAGTCATTAAAAAAAATCATTGTCAAATTGGGATAATTAACGACTGTAAAGGATTTGTGAAGAAACTAAAACCTAGGATTTTTAAACGCAGATTGCTTTTCAAGTGCCTTTAAGTTTTGGTTCCACCATAAACAGAAGTTGTAGACAATGTACAATGGTTGTGCTTTATGGAAGAAAAATAAAGTGAACTTTATTCATTAAACTCTTCCCCAAAGTGAAGGTCCTAGACCTCAGTCAGAATTTTGGCAAATAAATGTACATTTTTATGAGTGAAAATAATGTGTGGTCATCTCATTTTTATAATTTTCCTGTATAACTCACTGTGGCCCCAATCTTGGTAGATAAAACACTTGTAAACATACAGGACGATGATAGGTGCGGTGAATGAGATCATGCACACCACACTTAGGTTGATATTTAAATACTTCTGTTAAGATCTAGGTAGGATAGTTCTGTCCTTCTCTTCTCTCCCATAAATACCAGCCAAGTCATATCAAGAATATGTTTGAAAAGAAAATATTCCAAAAATAAATAATCAGAGGTTGGCCTTTTGGCATGTTTCTGTTTTTAGTCATATTACAACCTAATTTCCATTAGGCTGAGGCTGGATTTTAGATGCTAACCTTCAGAAAATAATTTAGACTCTTGCCTGCCAACTATCCAATCCAATGAAAACTAGGATAATGTTAAATAAGCTGGGGGCGGTTTTAAGGTATTTAAAAATTATAGATGACACAATTTTTTCTTACTTAAAAAATCCCAACTTGAGAATAGATGTCCCAAAAACACTGCTTATGGTTCATTTGTGCACATGATTAGGTTTTTAAATGTTGGGTAGTCTTCTTTTATAAAAAGCAAATATGATTCCTTTTGATAGTTAAATGTATTTGCCTTGGTCTTAATTATATTAATAAACCCTGTTACAGTTAGGAGGTATGCTGAAATAGACAGTACTATTCCCACAAAAATGTCCCTTATAGGTGAAGATCTCTGATAGGCAGAGAAGAAGCCATTTACCTAGTCACTTACCAGTACACTTCTTTGAAGAGTCACTTATTCCTTACAGCTCGTAGCTGTTCCTACCCTACCACTGGAATTCTGGAAAAGCTTTTTTAGTCCAGTGGACTTCTGAGAACACAACCCAAAGTAGAGTTTTTTGGCCAGGAAATTTCATTTCCTGCCCCAGAGAAGAAGACAGTCGCATAATCACAGATTCTTAGGGATTAGAAGAGACACTACTTGGGGTCAGAGAGGCCAACTTGATACTTGGAACTTCTTTATAACATCCTTAGTGTGGCATCAGTGTGTGCTTATTCCTTATCACAGCAGCCTATTTATTCCCTATACAGCACTTTTCTGAATCAATAATTCATTTGTTTTGCCTGTTCATCGGCCTGTGCCATTAGAATGTAAACTCTATGAAGATGGATTCACTTGTTGGACCTCTGGTATCTGGCTCACTGGCCAATGAATAAACACCTCTGATAATAGAAACCATAGGTTTACTGAAAATTTTATATTTGGATGCGCCTGACCTTTAGGAATAATACGTTGAGCTACAATCTAATATTTTATAATGTCAATCTAATTCTAATACTAAGTCTGTCATCAGGCCAGAGACAACAAATCTGTATTCCTTCCACCTGATAACTTTGTCTAAATATTTGAGGAGTTTTCAGATACTTTCTGTAGCTTCTTAAGGTTTAATATGCTCAAGACTATCACAGGGTCAGGCTCCTAGTCTTGCTCAATAAATTAGTCAGAGAAGCAAAACGATGAAAGAAAATGTAACTTGAGGAATTTTCAGTGGGGATACCAGCTTTCAAGAATGTTCTGTCTTTAGAGAGAAAACATACTGGCCTTACCCACATGTCGCACCAAAGATGGAGTAGAACTGTCCCTACCAGCTTCCCAAGTGATGTGGCTCTATCGTTGAGAAAATCTTGTGGGTCGAGTGGAGGGTTCTTAAGATAATGGTCAGAACAAGCTAGACTGTTGTGGGTAAGTAGCAACAAAGAGAAAATGTTAAGTGTGGGCATCATACCAGGTAGACATAACAGGGGCCAAGTAATTGAAAATCTTTGGTTTGACTTATGGCTACTGTACCCTTTGTGACTTAATGAATGGGCACATGCTCCTCACTGATGAAGAAATCCTCTGGATCAAAAATGTTTTTCCAGAACAGTATGGTAGAAACACCTGCAGCACCGGCTGCGTCAGAAGAGTCAGTCTATCAACTGGTTATTTGGAAAATCAAACTGTTCTTGTGTATCTAACGTAACATTCAACTTAGGGTTTTCATGTTGCTATCTAGTTTGGAATATGTCAGCCTGTGGGATAAAAGTTATTAAAATAGGAATAAACAGAAATTGTGGAATTCTTATTTTCTTAAGAAAATGCAACAAAATAATCAGAAATAAAACTGTTACCTTCTAAAATGTGCATTCTGACAAGTTCAGAACGATCAGGTCGGCTTCGAATCTTGTGCTTCAAAAAGTTTTCAGTCTTTAAAAAACAAAGAAAGGAAGAAGACAGTCTTACCATACATTATTTATGACTTATTGTGGTTTTATATATTTTTCTCTCAAGGTACTCTGTTTAAATTAATTGATACCCTTTTGGCCATGATTTTAAGAGGAAGAAATTAGTACTTTGAGAAACTATTATCCAATACATGATTTAAACTACAGCCTTCAACACTGTACAGGGACTTGATGTGTACGCTGGAATAAAGTAATCAATTTATAGACTTTTAAAACTTGGGAAAGACAAAGGCTCATAATTTGGAAGCTGATTTTTGAACAGACATTAATTTTGCTTATGTAAGTATCTAAAATCAATAAAATCTAAACTTCAGGTCAAGTGAAAAATCTACCTTCATAGCAATTTTCCTAAAAATTTCTCATGTATTCTCTTTGATGAGTTCATATCCTTGGTCATATGTTGTTATTCAGAACTGTATACCCCAAACAATAGGGCTTTAAAAGGGGTTTTATATTTTGTAAGATTCTAAGAGATCATTATTGCATCCTGGGAAAATTCTAAAGAAATTTTTAGAGCATGCAGTTCATAAAACATGATAAAAGTTTTCCCTAAAACAAAAAGAAAAATGTACATAATGGTGCTTTTAAAGAAAAATAATAAATAGCACTTAGATGTGCAACTATGATGGAGTCAACCCAAAGAACAAAGCAGAGTGGAATGTAGCCATGGTCTTTCACTTGGCCAGATTCTCCTACGATTGGTTAAATTCACAGGTGACACAGCAGCATCTATGTCCAACTGCTGGGGTAACAAATGGCAGAATTACTCCCTAATTATTCTAAAAACCATGGTTATGCCCTGAAAGCAAGAAAGTGAAAAAATATGATTTGTCCTTTATGTACAAAATTAGTCATTGGTTTTAAAAGAACAAAATTGAATGTCCTATATTTTCTACCAACCTCCAAGATAAAACTACCCCAGAATGTATTACTCTATATACCATATATCCTGAAAATATACTGCTTTTTTCCTTTTGACATATTTAGGAGTAAAGCTGCTGCTTGTCGACGGGTACTTTGAAATAAAAGAGAGAAAAAGAGAAGTAGAACATTTTGAACTGAGAATTCTTACTCTGGCTCGTTCCAAGCTTTTTATTTGCTCATGGAATGCCGCTGGGCTCTTCAAAGCTGTGAGAGGAAAAGAAAGCAGTTTCATGGTATAAATAGAGGAGTTAATACTTCAGTCAAATGTTACAGTATGTCTTATTCATGTTTCTTCTTAATCACATTAATTCACATCTACCGTTCCTTTTATTTACTAGTTACTTTATGTACTAGTTACTTTAGGAGATCTGCAAAATCTGGAACCTTAAATGTTTCATAATTAAAATTATATATTTCACAAATAAAACAAGTGAACACTTAAAATGGAATTGTAGCCCTGACTGGTGTGGCTCAGTGTGTCGGGTGTCATCCAGTAAACCGAAAGGTTGCCAGTTCAACTGCTGGTCAGGGCACATGCCTGGGTTGCCTATGGTTGCTATTATCCTGGTTAGGGGCGTGCGAGAGACAACTGATATTTCTCACATTGATGTTTCTCTCCCTCTCTCCTTCCTTCCACCCTCTCTAACAGTAAATAAATAAATAAAATCTTTAAAAAATAAATAAAATGGCGTTGTATACAAAATGACAATGAAAATATCAGGTCAGATTAGTTTGAACCAATAGTTGGGGCAAATTATTGTACCATCACAAGGGAACTCTCTGATGATTCCTTGACAGGTCTTTGCTTTTAATGGCCATATCAATTCCTGGAGAAAGCCCAAATATCCTCAGGACATTTAATCATGAGTGACCTAACCTTAAACATGAGGACACTATGCACTCCGTGTTTCACAGATCTGATTTAGCATTTACTGAGAACCCATAACAGGGTTAACTCACTGTTCTGTGGTCAATCACAATTATATTGCTGTTGATCATCATAACAACCTTGCAAGGCAGGCATTAGCCCCAGTACAGACAAAAGGCTCAAAGAAGTAAAATGTATTCTTGAAGTCATAGAGCTAAGATGGTGGTCAAAGTAGGATTTAAATCTGAAATTTTGAATGGAAAGGTTCATGTTCTTTCTACCACACCACAATGCAAATCACTCTAAAGACATAGTAGTTCTTTAATTTGTTAACTGCTAGTACATTCCAGAATCCCAGAGAGAGGGTAAGCAGTGTTTACTTACTAAAATATTGCCTACTGCCGTATTTTTGTCAATTGTCTTTGTAAATTCTTTTGCGTGTATGTCCACCACTGTCTGATAACACCTTGTACTTAATGGGCAATCAAATGATGTGGGTGAGATACAGGACAAAGCTTATTGGGTTGTCATCTCTAAAATTTGGCCAGTTAGCTCTTGGTAGCATTACTACTGTCAGCTCTGGTACTTGAAGCACAGCAAAGACTTCCAGCAAAACGCAGTCCAAACAGGACTGGCTAGAGACCAGCTTCCAAAACCAGATTACAACGGGCTTAGCAGCAGTGTCTTAAACATCATAATGTGATCCTATTTGATTGATCCTGTTCCCAGTCAGGAATGTAATGGTGGAAACATCTAGCAGATTATTAAATAAGATTGACTCTGTCACAATGCAGGTTTAAAATATTTAGATAATTAATAGTCCAGAATAAAAAGTTTCAATGAGAGAAATCTATTGCAGAGAAAAACTGTTCGTTATAAACTAAAAAGGGTAGCATCAGTGACTCAGAAGACTAGGAAGCATAAAAACATTTTATAATTTCTTTCTGTTTTTTAAAAGCCACATAAGTTATTTCTTGGATAAATCAATTTTTTGGCAAAATCCATATAAATAATCCTAATGGCCTATACAAAACAACCACTCTTCCTCTCTAAAATATAACATCATCAAACTTGCTGATTAAGAGTAGAGAAAACAACCTGAACAAATATTCTAAAATTAATCAACTCACAAAAAATGAAGGATTGAAATTTAGAGACAGCTCAAAAATATCTGTACTTGGGCAAGAAAGATTTTACTAATTAAATATAGGATGTTTATTAGTCCTTAACTGAGATACACTTGATATTATAGCTCATATTGTAGCAAAGATAATTAATTTAAATTAAGTAATTTAAAGTAGAATAAGGATTCAAGTTAATTTTATCATGCTGCTTTTACAAGTCTAAGTAACACCGGACCTATTATATAGTATGATTACTTCAATTATTTAAAATTAAAACGAATGTTACAGTTTGAAGAACTGATATTAACCCAATTACAGAGTTTTAAAGGTGTTCTTTGTATAATATAAAATTTGAGTCCATCTTTTAATCAGCATCGGGTTTTCTAAATGTTTTAAATGTTTCTCTTAAGTTGGCAATGCTGAAGTCTGGTTTTTCCTTATACATTCACCTGGTAATTAACTATATATTGATTACATGGATACAGCTAGAAGTATAGTGTGATATAGGTTATTCTTGGGCATTCCTATTTTGTTACATCACATTAGAGATGACAAGAACACTTAAATCTTACGTGGCATGATGCCCTGGTCCACTAGTTGTTCTCTCGTTCTCCTTTGCTGCAGCCTCAGCTGGAGCACTGTAAAAAGAAAATAATTACTTAGCACTGGAGTTTGGATGGAACTGAAGGAGTCAACTATATTAAACATCTTCTAATTCATAGTTGCATAAGGATGCTACCTGTCACCATCCAGCTTGTAAAAAGAAAATCAGTTTGTACCTTCTGACTGGTGAACTTTGAAGTTCTCTCAAAATGCTTTTTGATTACTTAGTTAATAATCTTAGTTTGATGAATAAAATGAAGTATTTGTTGTTTAAATACAATCACACAGTACTCAGAAAAAAAAGCAAAAATTACTGGCTCATACATTGTCTTATTTGTAGGAACAGAAATGTGAGATTCCTTAACACTGCTTAGTTTTTTGTTAAAAACAAGTTATAGCAAAAAACGTATTTTTAAGGACAGACCGAATTATTTGGCGGGATTTACTCCATTAGGAACAAATTCTAAATAGCTTTAATGAAGGTCAACTGCATAATAATAATTAGACTAAGAAGATATCACTAATGATCCAAGGGAAAAATTTCTAACTTAAGAATTTCAAGTTTAATGATCTTTGTACAAACAAAACACTGTATCTCATTCTACAAGTTCTAAGAAAGTCACAAATTGATTGACACCTTATCATTTTAATAAAAAGAGGAAAATCCTTAGAACTTATAGAAATCAAGGTATACATTACAAAGTGTGGAAATCCAGTCTGTTAATTTAATCAAAATAATATTTTCTCCTCAGCTTCTCAGTTGGATTCCTTTCATAGCATCTCTATAGTTTTGGTTGGAAAATGAGCCAATTTCAAAAGAGGAATAAATAAAGTAATTTTGAAAAATATTTTCCTTGGTTTACATGAAATTTTAAGTTTCTATTTTTATTTTTGTTTCAAACCCTGGATAAAAACTTAGGATTATTAAGTATATGCTTAAGGGTTGTCAATAAGCAAAAACCCCAAAATTTCCGATGTGTATTTCCTAAATGTAGGGAAGGAAGACAGAGAATTTTCTAGTAAATGGGTGACGGCTAGAACAGGAGCCGGCTTAGACCAGTCTTTCACCCAGGTTCAAATGTAATGCACACGATGGCTTCTACTTGCAACAAACCCCTGCGGTCTGAAGATGCAGGGCCTGTGGCCCTCATAGCCTTTGCTTTTTGCTTGCCCTTGTGCTGCCTGTAGAGCAAAGCACAAACTTAAGTATACTTCAAAAAGATGCTATATCGTAAAATAACCTTTTAAACATATTTGTTATTCATTGCTAGGTATGAACGTCATCCTTTATTAAGTACTGAAAAAAATTTTTTTGCTTCTTTTGGGGATCATAGGATCACAAAGCTTCACAACATTCCATTTTAAACTGAAGCAACAAAATTCTCCTATACAAGCAAAATAAAAATTTAATGAGTTAAAAAATATATGCATGTTTCTCACATTAAAATGCTTTGTGATACTTTGGATCAATTATGCTCTAACTCAAAGATCTTTTCTCTGACAATTTACAGTTTATTGAGGATAGCATGTTCCCACTCTTCTAGGAATAAAATTAAACATTAAAGGAGTTGACCTGTGAATCTGATAGCAACCAAATGGCTGCATACTCTAACATTCTTGTATGAATGTTAAGGTTAATGCATGTCTGAAATTAAGATGGTAATATTTGAGTGGTAGAATCCCAAGAAAAGGAATACTGAGAGGAGGAAAGGGTCAAAACAATCTCCAGTTCAAAGGCTGACACTTCCGGAACAGTGGTCCACGTCTGTTGAAGAATCTCTAGCAGTTTTTCCTTTCTCCCAAGGGGGTCCTCAAAGAAAGGAGTAAAATACAAAGGGTAGTGAAAACAACAGCCCTCCTCTTTGTTTTACAGCAAACAAACAAAGCACCATACTTGTGAGACAAATGTATCAAATGCAATATATATTTTTGGGTGATGGTGTCTTGGAATGATGGATACATTTGCAACAACTTGATTTGCAAACCAACACAGAAGACAACAGCTCGTTAGTCTTGAAGCATCTCCTAATTGTACATTGGTCAGCTGCCCTCATGCACCTTGATAACTATCCTGTCGGCTTTATCATCCTTGATTAGAAATCACACTTTCATGCTGACATATAACAGGTATCTGCTACCAGGAGGGGAACACACAAAATTAATGCATCTCATCAATCACCAACTGTTAAAACCCAAATGCAAACCTGTTTGTTTGATGGTTAAGCAACCAATCTTACAGATGCCATACCACTTGAAGATTGGAGAGCAATCTTCCCAATCAATGCTCTGATCATTGCCTATATCATCTTCCAAGAAGCAAGCAGTATCATTACACTACAAGTATCGCTCAAAGCAGTATGGCAGGCAGCCTTCCCCAGGCATGTTCATTTATTAACACATTAGGAAGAACATGAATGGAAGAGGAGGCATATCACCAGTCATGTTGTTAAGACTGTTGATGACCCTGCTTGATTTAGTTTTAATCTATATCAACAGGTGGGCAGTATTGGACAGATTATATTGAATATGAGGCACAATGTATGTTAAAACACAATTATGATATTCATTCATATTAAATATAACCAGTCACTCACAACTTGATAGAGGTTCTTCTGAGAACAACTAATGGTTATAAAGAGTACCAATCAAATAGTTACAGGCTCATAAAACTTCCTTTTAGTACTTCCCACTCATCATATTGGTAAAAAAAAATTAGTATATAATAAATGACAACTAATATCTTCATCTCACAGAATGTCAAAGGTCAGGAAGAACGAGGCTTGAATGACGTAAACCAGTGATTTTCATCCTTTTCCATCTCATGGTACACATAACCTAATCACTACTAAAATTCTGTGGCACACCGAAAAGTATTTTTTGCCAGTCTGACCAGAAAAGGCTGTAATTTTGATTCATTCACACCAGATGGCTACTGTTGTGTTGGCTGTTGTCATTTTTTTTTTAATTTGGGAAATTTTTAAAAATCTAAGGGAAAAAGAGGTCAGTGCCCCTGCCTAAAGGTACAGCGTGTTTTACCTTGCGGCCCATCAGCGTGTCATGGCAAACCAGCTGAAAAATCACTGATGTAGACAGCTTGGGCAGAACTGGGCAGTGCTTATCCAGGACTGTGAAGAGAGAGGCCCACACTCTTAATGATGAGAGGCGGATTCCACAACTTGATGTGGAATCAAGATGCTTTAATGAGTTTTCCTGGGACCTTTATGAATTAAGCCTGGAGACTATCTTCTTCCCTTTGTAGCCTCCACATTCACGTCTGCACAGAGGGAAGGCCCAGATCACTAAATGCTCCAGGGTCTATTACACAGTTGTACTTTCTCAACAATAATAAAATGGTATGCTGGCTGCTCTCTGGAAAGCCTGACATGGCATGCGTTCACAAAACTGTATTTCTGAAAACTGAAGACTAGGCACTGGTCCAGCACTGTTTCTCTGTGTTGGCAAATGGGTGGTGGTGGTATACAGCTGCCTAAGAACATAGCGTCTTGGGCAGTGGCCTTGTGTCTGAAAACTGAACCCAGCAGCAATCTCCCATGGTACCTAGTTGTGCTGATTAATTGTGCTATTGGGCTGACATAGCTTCCATCCTTGTTAGTTAATAGACTAATTCAGTATCCTCCATGACCGTCTTGTCAATAATTACAAACAAGAAAACATGTAAATAAAGAATTCTCAGGGAGAAAAAAGTTTAAAGCACTGAGTGAGCAACTATATTCTTTCAGAAAACAAAGGACATAGTAATAGAGTTGAGATAGAATTCATGTTATAATTGTGCACATTTAAACATTTTCTAAGAATCCTATTCATTTACTTTAAATGTATATTTATTGCATTTTCTCCATCATCATTTATCCCCCTTCTACCCCACTCTCCCTCGCAATCACCACACTGTTGTCCATGAGTTCTTTTTCCTTTTTGCTCGATTCCTGCATCCCTTAACCCACCCCCCAGAGCTGTCAGCGTGCTCTCTGAGTCTGTCTCTATTTTACTTGTTAGTATATTCACTGGATTCCATAAATGAGTGAAATCATATGGATTTGTCTTTCTCTGACTGGCTTATTTCATTTAGCATAATATTCTCCAGCTCTATCCAAGTTCTAAGAATGTCTTTATTTTTGAAAAATATATAAATAAAAATGATCCAACTTATCATACTATGAAGTCTTTAAGTTTAAAATATTTGGGTTTAAACCTGTTTAATTTTTTTCAAAAAAGGGAGGATATATAAAGTATATATATCTCATTATATAGCTAGTACAACATTCTCTGTACAAAAACAGTTCCCACAAATTAAGAATTCTATCATAGCTCTGCATTTCCTGATGATAAAACCACAAGAGGCATGCAGAAGGCCCTCATCAATAGAAAGAGATGAGGTTATAGATATCTCTCTCTCTCACATCTTTAAGTAGCCTGACTCCAAGGCTTTTATATTTTACTAAAAAAAAGCACAACTCTTCAGTTCTTCTGGCCAAGGTGGAGGCGTAGGTAGATACACTTTGCCTCCTCACACAACCAAAAGAACAACAACAAATTTAAAAACAAAAAAATAACAAGAATTGCCAGAAAATTGAACTGTATGGAAGTTCGACAACCAAGGAGCCAAAGAAGAAACATTCATCCAGACCAGTAGGAGAGGCAGAGACAGGCAGCCGGGGTGGAGAGGACGGGCAGCAAGGTGGCAGCTGGAAGACTGGGTGGACCATTTGCATGTGGATAAACTGGAGAACTGGCTGGGGAGTGAGACTCCGCAAGCCAGGGTTCTAGTGAGGGAAAAGAAAGCCTCAAAATCTCTGGAGAAAGAAACCTGTGGAGCTTGTGGCAGTGGGAGAAACTCCCAGCCTCACAGGAGAGTCCGCTGGGGAGACCCACGGGGTTCTAGACTGTACACAAACCCACCCACCAAGGAACCAGCACCAGAAGGGCCCAAATTGCTTGTGGGTGGGAGGGGAAGTGACTGAAAGCTGGCTGAGAGCCCAGCAAGTGGCATTGTTCCCTCTCAGACCCCTCCCCCACA